TAGGGTGGGGTGGCCCCACAGGCCGGATGTGGCTCGCGGGCCATAGTTTGCCCACCCCTGTCCTAAGGGGATGCTATAAAATCACAGGATTGGAAAGTTTTATTTTGTATTAATTGAATCAGGGCAGTGTTGAACTGTGTGTGCTGAATGTGCAATGTGGAGTGCAGATATAACCAAAGGGCAAGAAACTGGAATAACAAACGTGACAGGGATTCCATGCTACTAGAGCAAGCAAAGAAATTGCAGAAGGCTGAGGGGATTAATATATGTGTGTGTGTGTGTAGGGGGGGAGTGAGGTGTGTCTTTTGTGAAGAGGAGCAGCCCCAGAATCTATTGCAATAATTGTGTAAGAATCCAGGAGCAAGCAATTCAGCCTCTGCATCCCCCTTATTATGGTCTCATTGTTTTATTTTAGGGAACAACAGCAGAGGAAACTGCTGCATGTAATTATGGCATGCAGTGCTGGATTACTTACACATGTATTACATAATTGAAATGTTCCTCTAGCCTTTTATGAAATATATAAATTAAAAACAAATGACAGAGACCAAATTTTCTGCAGGGATCTTTGTGTGCAGTGTTTGGGCTCTCTTAATATGGCAGGGAACTCAACATGGTTTTCATTAGTGTTGGAAACCCAGAAAGCCGTCTATTGGATATATTGTAGTATTTAAAAATCAGCTTTCCTTGACCAAATTGTAATAAATCCAGAGCCCAGTGAAGCCAATGGGAATCTTTCCAGTGGGCTTGGATGAGGCCTGCAATGTGAAGATGTTACAAAAGGTAAACGCTACTTCACGATAACCCCATAGGCCCCAGCAACATTTTGTTGTTGTTCTTGCATCTTGGTCAGTGTTCAAACTGAATAATTTGCAGATGGGGCATAAAAGCCTTGTAGGGTGATCAAGGGTTACCCTAGAAATATTATCTACCATTTTGGGTAGTCTAGTGCATTCCAGAGAAAAAAGTATTGCTCTTCAGTAGTGTCTCGGCGGGGGTTGTCTCTGAGGAGAGAGGGAGGAATGCTCTCAGGAGCATGGAAATCCCTGCCCCTCCTACCTCATTTCAACCTGATGATAAACATAACAAAGGAATCGGCTGGTAGAGGGGCACTGTAGTAGAAATGCGGGAGAGATTTATGTATGAAACAGAAGAGGAGAGTACTTTGCACATGTGAGTTATGAGGAGAATATTTTTTATGAGATGGCAAAGTGAAGCCCAGATTACAATGCTACTGATCTTAAGTTTACAGCCAAGTAACATGAGAGAAGGCTAAATCAAACAGAATGTGGAATTACAAGTGGCAATGTGAGGGAGATTATTAAGGAGCCTGATGCAGCAATAGGAAAAGCTGTGGACATTTGTAGAGCAGCACAGAGAGAACATATCAAATGCAGTCTGCACAGGGCGAATCTGTTTACAAACAAACAAACAAACAAACAAACAAACAAACAAAAAAACCCCTAAAACAACAACAAAAAACAACAGTAACAAAGAGGGAAAATAAAAATTCATACTGGAAATAACAAGAAGCAGCCACTAAAGTGTGAACATATTGATGCAAGAAAGATGCAGAATCCACTACCAGCTAAGGTTACCTGTAATTAGCCAGAAATGCTTCCAGTGGTGGATGAGCTGAAAATAAGCCTAAAGGCTAAGAATCCTTCAAAAATAAAGTTCAGGTGGCAAAATACACATGAATTTGTTGAAGAGGAGACGAAGAAGAAACAACAAGGTCTAGAAAATGACAGGGTATTATGAAACATTGCAACTCTTGTCAGAATCACTCTAGGAATTCTAGAAGATAACTGAGATAAGTGAACATTCTGTATGGGCACCCACAGCACTACACAGAGGATGTGCTGTTCACTTCGAAGCCAATACTTGAAGCCAGAGAGCTCTCTCAAGGTTACTGTTAACAGTCTACCCTGATGCAATGCTGAAATTGTTTAGCTCTAGCTAAGTGCTTTTAAACTGGTGATTGGAGTAAAAGGCATAACTCTTGGAGGGCAAGGGTGGGCAAACTTTTTGGCCTGAGAGCTGCATCGGGTTTCGTAAATTATATGGAGGGCCAGTTAGGGGAGGGGGTCATGGCCCGGTCCCCACCACCTATCTGCCCCCTCCACCCCCTCCCTTGGGACTGGTGCAGAAGCTTGGCCAGTCTCAGCCGGGGGCAGAGACAGTGTGAAGGGCTTGGCTCGGTCCCTCCAGACAAGTGCGTCTTGAGGGAGCCTGGCTGGGGCAGGCCCTGGCCTGGCTGATCATGCCATTCCCAAGGGGCCAGAATGATTCCTGGCTCTGGGACTCAGCCCGGCAGACACAGTTGCTTCCCAGCAAGGCTGGTGAGTGCGGCCGGGAGGCAGGGCTTGGGGGAGTGGGTCTGGGGGAGTCTGGGGGGTGCTGGGCTGTGAAGAGGCAGGGAAGATCTGTGTGTGTTGGGGCACTAGGGAGTGGGGGTTCTATGTGGGTGGGTACTGGGCAGTTGTGGTGGGGCTGTGGGCAGCGGTGGTGTTGTGCAGGGCGCTGTGCATTTGTGGGTGGGTCTGGGAGGCGCTGGGCATAGTGGGTCCAGGGGGCTTCTGGCCCTAAGGAGTCAGGGGTGTTGGGCGGGGGGAGGCTGTGTAGTGTGGCATAGGCCTGTCCCTGAGGGGAAGGGGCATGTTGGCAGCACAGGGCCGGGCAGGCCACTATGTGTCTGGCAACTGCTGGTTTGTAAATAGTGCCCTTGCATTGGGCAGAGCGGGGCTTACCCTGCCATGCCCCATTGCCTCTGGCTGGCCCCTCGCTCCGGGGACTGACCTCCCTGTGCCATGCTCCATTGCCTCCATGGGGGCCCACAAAAATGTTTGGTGCCCGCCCCACAAAAGGTTAATCCGGCCCTGCCTCTGTTAGGAAGGTGCATTATGTAGTCCTGTGGTATTATGCCATTGTGTCTCTCCCTGATGCATTCAGCTGACTAGGAGGAATTCTGTGGGTACTAGCTGTATTCTAATGCATGCGATCGTTTTTAGTGTTTTGAAATATATGTGCTTATGAGAAGCAGCACACTATTGGCAGCAGCCGTACATGGGGAGGGTGGGGAAAAATTAAATTTTGTACGGAACCAGACTATTTTATGTGTAAATTTCAGGTAGGCTTTAGGCCTGATTAGCTGATTTTGTGTTGTTTTTGTTTTGTTTGTTTGTTTTAAATGGTAGCTTGTTAATGTCATGAGCCAAAAATGAGAGAATGCAGTGTGGATTAGCAGATATAGATAACCATCGCCATCTGAGAGGAACAGGTAGAGCCTCTGGGACGATTGAAAATGGTACGTTTCTTCTTGGCCACAGGTGCAAACAGATAGACTAGGTGCAGTTAGGACGCTGAGCTTCATGTTTATGCTGGTGCTCAAGAGTTGGATATCCTCTGTCAAGGTGAAGTCAGTGTTCCGGCAAGCCCTTGTCTTCCCCAAATTATGCCCCCCCCCTTTTCCTTGGAGTTTCACTTCTGCCTTCCCCATATCTGTTCCGGGCCAGCTGCTTATCATTTGCTTACTTCCTCCTAGTTAGACTACTGGAGTGAAGCATCAAATGCATATGGATATGAGCATAATTGTATAGGAATCTCAAATGAGAGCAAGAGAATCACCTATCTTGTAAGGATTTTAGATGATGATAGTACATGATTTGAGCTTTTATCTGAGGCTGTCAAAGTGCATTCAAGTAATTAACAATCGCAAATCTATTGAGAAGTAGATAAGCAGTATTACACCCATTTCACAGCTGCATTAACTGAAGCTCATAGTGGTTGAGTTACTTGTCCACTGGCATATGGCAAAGCAGTGGCAGGATTGGAAATAAAACCCAGGAGTCCTGACACCTTCATCAACTTAATACCTGTTTCTCGGGGCCAGGTTGTCTCAAACCATGCATTGCTGAAAAATTGAAAACCAAGGGTGGCAACCACTGCTTCTACACTTAATTTTGTAGGTGTTTGTGAATATAAATGCAGACCCTTAAATAGAACATGGGATGCACCTCGTTGCTTAGCGATACAAATGAGTACATGCTGAGAATGACAAATAGTTACCCAAGGTAACATTTGCATCTGCAGGAGAAAGAAATCATTTAGGTGCTCAACATGTTAAAGTTGCATTAATGAAGACCGTACAAAATCTTTGACGTGCAGCTTTTGGTTCCCAGAAGGAAAGATCTCCTGCAAGATAGGCACTGGCTATGTGATGTGAATTGCTTCTGCCATCTTCACTCAGACATTCTAAACTCTCCTATTTTAACATCTGTTTTTGGGTGCATCTTTTCTTGCAGAACTATAATTTAATAGGCCATATCAAGATTACATATAAATAATTGACATTATTCATTTCCATGTGGTTTACGGTAATTTAACAATAAGTTCCTTTAGCTAAACAAACCACAGTCCCCACAAATTCCAAACGAGGCAGAACTCAGGTAGGTTATCCTGAGTAATGGACATAGCTCCCGTTACGTGTATAATTTTAAAATGTCAGAAGTGGCCCCCGAGATGTTATAAGACTGTACATGTGTGCAATTTGTGAGGACAGTGGTTGTTTAGGTAAGGAGCCCAAAGAAACAATAGAAAAATAGCAAAATTACCTCAAGGGAGTATTTTTAAATGTTTCCTCTGCAAAAGGTAGTAAATATTTTTATTAAAAAATTGCATGGAAAATTCATTTGACTTTTGAATAATGCCAGAGTTTGTCCCTGATCCAGCAAACACTTACATGAGTTACTTCAGTAGTCCTGGTTACTCACTCATGAATGTTTGTAGAAGGAAAGTCTTGGAGAGTGAATTCAGTCATTAAAGTGTAAAATAACTTAACCTTAACTATGGAATAGTTTGGAGCCTCAAAAATAGAAACATGTTTGTACAGATGTGTGATTTGAGGATTGGGGAGATCACAGTTTGAAGGGAGCATGTGGCTGATCCTAAACTTGTTGGCTGTGCCCGGTTCAGGAGAATAAGAGAGCATTTAACAGAGGACATAGGAATAGTAAGATTAGTAATAATTGAAAAGATTTGTGATGTGTGAGATGAATTCTGGTCTGGAGAGTATTGGGAGGGAAAATACATTAATGTTTTATAAATCTCCAAAATGTTTTCATTTAAATGGAGAGAACCTACCCTTTAACCTTGTTCTTAAACTGATAATGAAATGCAGTCTCCCATTTGGGATACATACTCACTTTGACATACCATAATAATCTGTTGCTATGGAGAGGAGTGTGGAATTGCTTAGGCTTAAGTCTTTATAAATGAGTAAATGCTAACCAAAGGGAATGGGTTACCAGATGACTGTATTGTTAAAGGTAGATGTTTTTGTCTCTGCCACAGTGTGTACATTTGCTGCTTTCTTTTCATACAAGTACCATACTTTATATTTAAAAATAAGCCAATTATTTTGCTGCCTCCTTCCTGAATTTTAATTGTGTAGACCTGTTTCAGGTCAAGTATCAGAGTATATTTTATTTTGATCTTCTGTCTTGTGTGTGCCAAATTGTTGTTGTTGCCAGCTTCTGTGTTATTAATAATATGAGTCAAGAATAGGCTTTTTGGTGGCCACATGCCAATATGTAATAATGTGAGGGAGGTTTGGACTGTTTAAAGATATTTTTTTCTTAAACTTTGCATTTTCAATGCAAAGGGAGGTGTTAAGCAGTTAAAGTTATGTAGTGTTTGCTAGATGTGTTCTGCTGGTACAGGGTGGGAAAGTGCTTGGTAGGCAGTAGGAAGGGGTCACATTTGTGGAGAACAGAATGTGCCCTGGTTAGCATGTACAGCACAGCTCAGAATAAATGCGGGGGGGGGAGTTCTACCCAAACCTTCCTCGTCAGATCACCACATCCCCTTGTGGGGAAAATAGCATAGGCAAGCATGAAAGCCAGGCTGCTCTCCTGGTATCCTTGAGCATTAGATGGATATCCGAGTCTAACTCACTTGCTATACTCTCTTGCCCTCTGTGCACAACTCAAGATCAGGATTTGACCCCTAACCTTTGAAATACTGTGTGGTTCAAAAAAATCCATTTTTGCAGCTAAATTATTTTGGCAACAAACTTTCTTTAAATTGCATATTTTTCTTTAAAATGAATCAAAGCTAAATCAATTTAGAATATTGACAGAGTTTGAAGACTCTAGCTTTGAATTGATCTGAGTTGAAGTGGTCACAGGACTTGTAGATGTTAAACATTTGTAACTTTAAAACTACCACATCAATTGTCTTCAAACTTAATACAAAACTAAGTGTTAAATCTAGAAAACTGGCTTAGTAATTATAAAGTTGTTTGCTTTTAAATTAATTAAATGCATCATGAGCTGAGATAACGTTAACAAATATTCTCTCTAATTCCTGTCTATCTAGGGTTGCCAACTCTCACTGGAGCTATTCTGGGAGATTTCCCCTCCCCCCCCACATAACGTAAAGTCATTTTCTTAAAATATCCTATTAACATCTCCAGGATTGCTTTCAATAGTCACCTGAAGATTGATGCCGATTCTGGGAGACTCCAGGCCAATCCTGGAGGACTGGCAATCCTAAATCCATCCTTGTCCAACTGCTTGCTGCCTCTTAACTTGTCCTTTCTTGTCTCTGCAAAGCCTCCCAACCCTCGTGATGTCCCCCCAAATTGTGTTTTTTTAGAATGTTTTTCACAATTTACATTGTTCAGTTACAGTAGATTTAAGGTCTGTGAGTTTAAGCTGAAGACATTTCCAAAAACTCAATTTTGGGGGACAGTGAAGTTGATCATGGACAGGAGCTGTTTATGCTGCTTTAAAGATTTCTTTTTTTAAACTGTGTACTTTTAAGGATATATGCAGTGCGTACACAGGTTTGGAGAAACATGGTCAGGCCCTGAATCTGCAAGTAGTTCCACACGAGTGAACCTCTGGACCCTGCTGGCAACAGCGGGGTCTTGGGCTGACTGTTATCTGATCAGTGAACAGTGTTACAAATGCTCAATTTGCTAATGTTTGGCCCCAGTTGCCCTTGGTTGGTGTCTTTTAGTTAAAACTAGTTGTAGTCATTCTTTAAAAAATAAATACAAATTAATTGTACATTTAAGCACCCAAAAGTCAGCAGTACAAGTGTAAAGGTTGTATGCATAAATCTCTGCTTCCGTGTACGCACGTATTATGATAGTCTTTAAAAATCTGATGACACAGAACTTCTCAGTGCAATGGAATAATATCCCATTCAACCTTAAATATATATGTATCACCTCAGACAGCACTACACTACATGCAAGATAAAACCAGTGCACAAAAATCATGTAAATAAAGAGTAGAAAGTTAAGCACATCTAGATTAAATATATGTGAAATATAATAACATACAGTAAAATAGTGGGTGCTGAACTGTGTTACCTCAGCATTGTATAAACTTAGTCTCTTGCATTTCCAATTGCATTAACATACATACTAACATAATTAACACAGATATTTTTGCCATTAGTCACATTATAATTTCTCTTATTTTTTAAGTTGAATATTGCTGAAAGGCAGACATTACGAGAAAAATGTTGTTGTGCAAATACCTATGACTGCAACTTAAGTGTTCAGAAAGTAAGAAGTCAGAACACATTGTGGACCCAAGGCTGGAGTGGGAGATAGATTCAATAGACTTGAAAAGCAGTTAAAACAATGATTAGAGCTTGGAGAAGTAAAAAACATTATACTTACAATACTATGTTTGAGTCTACTAGGAATAGAAATTATCAGACTGGTTTTCACTGGATTATATATTGAAATTTTAAAGATAGTTTACTCAGGCAAACATAAAGAACGAGGAGTACTTGTGGCACCTTAGAGACTAACAAATTTATTTGAGCATAAGCTTTTGTGGGCTAAAACCCACTTCATCGGATGCATGCACATCTACCAATGTGATATATGCATCATGTGCCAGCAATGCCCCTCTGCCATGTACATTGGCCAAACCGGACAGTCTCTATGCAAAAGAAGAAATGGACACAAATCAGACATCAAGAATTATAACATTCAAAAACCAGTCGGAGAACACTTCAACCTCCCTGGTCATTCAATTACAGACCTCAAAGTCACAATACTCCAACCAAAAAACTTCAAAAACAGACTCCAACGAAAAACTGCAGAATTGGAATTAATTTGCAAACTGGACACCATTAAATTAGGCTTGAATAAAGACTGGGAGTGGATGAATCATTACACAAAGTAAAAACTATTTCCCCATGCTAATTTCCCCCCCCACACACACTGTTACTCACACCTTCTTGTCAACTGTTGGAAATGGGCCATCCTGATTATCACTACAA